ACATTGCTTTTGTTTTAAAAGTTTGCGAAATTCCGGAATTTTTTGGACCAATCTTCTATTGTTATGGCTACAAAAAAGTACCGAAGCGACGTAAACAACCATTATTTAAAGTTTGTGAACCGGATATGATCATTGGTGTTACAAAACAGGGGAAATGGCAAGAACTTTCTTTACAGAACAAAAAATAGCAAGAACTTTCTTTATAAATCTTAAAATTAAAAACATTTTAATTTATCTGCACGGTGCAAAGCATTTTTTGCATTGCACGGTGCAGTCATTTTTTTAAAAATTCATTGTGCCATTCTTTTTTAAAGCTATCAGAATTAAAATTGTTTTAATAGATTATTATTAGTCCAGGCTAAAATATAAGGCAGTATTTGTTACCTAAAATACGTCAAATTTTGTACACTGATAAAAACAAAATTTGTTGCACGGTGCAAGGAAATTAAGAGCTTGCACGGTGCAATTGAAATTATGGTTTTTAGTGTAAAAACAAAGTAAAAATGTATTTTTAGGATTACAAATGACAAAAACTTTCTTTACAAAAAGTAAAATGGCAAAAACTTTCTTTACAAAACAAGGAATGACAAGGACTTTCTTTCCACGTCATGACGCGTCATTTTAGTAATTTTTCAATAAACTTCATTTTTGTAAATTTAAATTTTCTTCAATTTCCATTAGAAAGCGGCTTAGAGCCTCATAAACTTTGGAGTAAAAAGCAAAGAGATATTCTCTACATTACTATTATATTATTGGTGGCTTCCCGCTTTCGTTTTTATTTATTTTTTTGTGAATTTCGAAGAGAATTTTCATTTTTTTACATTTTGCTACGTAGATACGAGAGTATCTACGTAGCAAAATGTACGACCAGACGACGTAGATTATAATGTATATATATATGTATAGGAAATACGGGGTTTTTTGGGGATGGAAAGAAAGTTGTTGCCATTTTTTGTTTTTTATAGAAAGTTCTTGCCATTTTACTCTTTGTAAAGAAAGCTCTTGCCATTTACAACGTTAGAGTTTTATTTTTTATTTACTTTTACATTAAAAAAATAATTTCCATTGCACCGTGCAGTCTTTTAATTTCCTTGCACTGTGAAAAAAATTTTGTTCTTACCATTTTACAAATTGTGGCGTATTTTAGCTAACAAATATTGTCATAACATTTAGTCATGTGTCATAAAAAGCAATTGAAACAATTTTTACTTTGATGGTCCTAAAAAGAATGGCACAGTGAATTTTTAAAAAATGACTGCACTGTGCAATTCAAAATATGGTTTGTACTGTGCAGAGAAATTGAGTTTTTTGCCATTTTTAGTTTTGTAAAGAAAGTTCTTGTCATTTTTTGTCTTGTAAACGAACTTCTTGCCATTTCTATTATTATTTTAGTAGATTTTGCTCCAATTACCGCTAAAGACCAAAGTTCAATCTGATGTTTTACCCGTTCGCGTCACAAAAACCCTTTATTTTTTGTCGCGGAATCGAGCAATCATTGATCACAATTTAGTTTTGTCATATGCAATTATGTGTGTCACACATTTCGAAATTGGACATTTTTTGATAATATTAGTTCGTATTTTGACCAGTCTTGTCTAGTTTGTCATGGTTTTTTGAGGGATTTTTTAACCGCATGAACTTTCTTTAAAATGTCTAGAAATGGCAAAAAATTTCTATTTATTTGCACAGTGCAAAACATTTTTGAGATTGCACTGTGCAGTCATTTTTTAAAAATTAACTGTGCCATTCTTTTTAAAGCAATCAAAATAAAAATTGCTTTAGTAGCTTCTTATGACTTTAGACAAAATGAGTTACCTAAAATACGCCCCAATTTGTACACTGTTAAGAACAAGTTTGTTGCACGGTGCAAAAAGAATGATTGTGCACTGTGCATTAAAATGAATTTTAAATCTTTTTTTGTGAGTTTAAAAAACTTTTTTTTTGAAACTTGAAAAAAACCAAAATTTAAAAAAAAATTTTAAATTAAAAAATTTTTTTTTGAAATTGCAATCTTTTTTTAATTGATATAGGATACTGAATAATATTTTGTTTTGATCCTACTGCCATTTTAAAATGCATTATAAATTTAAAAATTTCCAGATTTTTCTGCAAACAACCGGCTGCCTTTTATCTCGTTCTTTGTGCGTGCTTTGCTACAGTCCCTTTTCATATTTGAGCTGGGCCACTTATTTCATTATGGGCCAAGTTGCGGGGTTTAATTTCAAAAATGATTTATTATTCTAGGTTGGGTTCAAAAATAGCAAGAACTTTCTTTACAAAATTAAAAATGGCAATAACTTTCTTTAAAAAATGTAAAATGGCAAGAACTTTCTTTAAAAAATGTAAAATGGCAAGAACTTTCTTTCCAAAACCGCGTTTTTAAAACCATGTAAGCTTATCAATTCTAGTCTGTCACTTAATGACCAAAAGACATTGAACATCTCTTTCAAACAGTGTGATTTACTATGTTGTTGTAGTCGATCAGACCGAACATTACACGGCCCCACCCCCTTCTTTTAGACATACAAAAACAAAAATTAACCCAACACATATATTTTTGTTTCCCGAAACGTTTTTTCGAAAAAAGTCATCGCTCAACAATAGGAAATTAGTAAATTAAGTAGGCTGTAACTGATATGACACCAAATATTCGCGGTGTTTCGGTACATTTTGAGTGTTTTTGGGTAATGTTTTGATTATTTTGTAGTTTAAATGACACTTTTTGAAGTCTTTGGAGTCTTGGGAATCTATTGAGATCAATTGCAATTCAACATCATAAAGACTTTGGCAGTTATGGGCCATTTCTCGATATTAACATAGGTCCTGTAGACTCTCATGTACATTTTTAGATTTTGGCTATGTTTAGTGGTATGTAACGGTCAAAATGACCTTTCCTGAATCCTTGACGTCATGGGAATCGATTGAGATCAATTTCAGGCCAATTTCATGCAGACTTTGTCAGTTATGGATAATTTTTCGATATTAACATAGGTCCAGTAGACCCTTTGGTGCATTTTGAGTGTTTTTGGGTAATTTTTTGATTATTTTATGGTTAATATGACGCTTTCTTGAATCCGTAAAGTCTTGGCAATTGATTGAGATAAATTTCAGATCAATATCATATAGACTTTGGCAGTTATAGACCATTTTTCGATATTAACATAGACCAATATTGGTATAGGTGCAACACTTTTTGATGGTACAAACTTGGTTTTGGTCTTATTAGAACAAAACCTGTTTTAAAATACACTTTTAACTTAATTTTACCTAGATATACTTTACTTTTACATATAGTTGGGCATTTCGATGATTTTCAATATTATCATAGATCAAGGGTTATATCAAAGTTTTCGTGATTTTTTCAAAAAAGATAAGATTGTTTTACATCACAAAGGAATGTTATTGATAATGAAAATGTAATAGACAATGATTTTTTAAATATAATTGTTGATTTTTATCTATTTTGTGGTCGATATTACACTTGTCATCAGTTGTCTTGGATAACATAATTTTCTATGTGAAAGATTAATTTTTTATTTTTTAGATACTGCTATGTAGTTATAAGGTAAAGGGGATTTTAAAACAATTAAGTTGATTGGGATTGAGTTATTGATTAAAAAACGATATTTTAGTAGCCATCTGACCCTACTCTAAGCTTTAAAACCTTGTAAAACCTGCGATTTTAGTCCAACTCGTCTAATTTTTACTTTCTTACAAAGCCAAAAGTTATTTTTACCATTGAAAAATTACTATCTTCCTTGTTTGTTTATAGAAAAGTTTACAGAGCCACTTTAACAAACCCCATATCAAGCGCGGCGTGCCATTTTCCGTGTGACATAATTCGAGTTTCACTGTGGCCAAGGCTTTTATTTCCGCTTCCACTGACCCCAAAAGAAAAACTGACGTAGTAGGTTGGAAAACAACCACTTACATTCAAAAAATATAGGTTTTTGGAGGTTTAGGTATGTTATAGTAGGCTAGGTGGGTTGAGCTGGTTTTGTTTTGGATTTTTTGTAGGAAATGAATCTTTAGTCCACATGAGTTTGGTACCATATTGTAGCCTGTTAAATTGCGGTCCTAATGATACCTATTTTGAAGAAGTTGGTTTGGTATAACAAAGTTATGGCTGTTTTTTTGAATACCATACCTAATTTCAGGCGTAAACAAGGTAAAGGAAAGTAAATTCACCTCACCGTATTTTACAAAATCAATGCCCCTTAAAACACTGTATAAAATTTACTTTTTACTTTCCTGTTAATAATTTACAGGAATCCCAGAATATACGATATTACCCATGGCTAGATGGCCCACACTTGTTTTTTCAAATTTTATATTCAAATTCCCACGATTTTTGACGTATAGAAAAAAAATATAGAATATGATCTCAGCTACTATTTACCATCAAAGTCACAGCAAATTTAGACGTTTTAATACTATTTTTGGCTATTCTTTTAGGTAACATCAGTTGATGGCAAGTGTAATATCGGAGATGAGCTGTTAATCGTATACGTTGGACTAAACTAAAGGAAAATATAGTGGAATAGAAGGGGAAGACATAGTTTTACAAATTTTTGTTAAAATTATTTTTTACGCATCAAAAATCTGTCAGTACTGACTAATTTTCTGGAAGTTTGGCTTTTTTTTATTTTTTGATAATTTTTCACTGGTTGTTCTCTATATTTACTATGTTTTCAAATGTTAAAATATCAACGATATGTTAAAAAATATTTTTTGTTATGTTTATCATATTTTATCATAATATTTTGCCATTAAATCCCGCGTGATCGTGTTTGTCCGAGATCTGCACCAAGTGTAATATAATTTGCCTATGATAAACAATGTTTCCTTTCAGATTTCTTCGTTCTTTTGTTATTCTGAAGATCGTGATTTCAAAAATCAACGATTGAAAGAAGATACGATAATATTTGTAAGATAATTCGACCAATAATATTGTGATACCGATATTAAGCGACCTTAATGTGGTTTTTCGAACATTAATAATGGGGTTTTACAGTTATGTCCTTGAATCTACGTCAGAAGTAAGTTGAGTTTATGTTTGTTATTTTAAAATTAAATTTAGGTAATTTCCGGTATTAATGTTTTTGTTTGAAAAGGAATAAGATGTTGTAGTAGACATCTGATGGTTGCTTTAAAAATGTTAAAGTTTATGCTAATTTTTGGACGTTTTAGCTGCCAACAGTGCTTGTACTAGCTTCAGGACTATCATTTGCATGTCTCATAGCATTTTTAGGATCATTGTTGATATCAAAATTAATCGCTTGGCGTAAGTTTATCTTCATCGTGGTTAACATATCTTTTTTGTTTTTTTCTTAAGTTTTTGATACTTCCTGATGCCAATGTACAGCTAATTGAAGTAAAATTGCATTCTTTAGTATTTCCACCAGAATCTCATGAAGAAGCAGATATCTCACCATCGCCTTCGGGCTCGAATTTGGCGACAGAAGGCGAACGTCCTCGGGGCTCCAGACGGCGTCGCATTCGTCGAGCAATACGACGAATGTATTCGAATATAATGGACGATGATGGTAGTAGGTCGAGTGATGAAAACTCTACACCGTCGAATAATGGGCAGCCGGTTCGAAGGCGACGACATTCGGCCAGTGGGCCGTTGAATTTCGCTCGAGCTGCCAAAGAGTAAGTGTAATATAACTTTAACTTGTTGTAACTTTTTGGAAGGAATTGATAGAGATTACAAAATTTGGGTGATTTTAGAGTATTTATTTGGCTAGCTAACGTAAAAAAGAAAATTTAAAATTTTTCGAGATTGGCAAAGTTACAGTAGTTTTATCGTACCCTACTTTTTTTCAAAAATTTTTGTTGTTTTGAAAAAAATTTATAAAAATGTGATTTTAGTAATACGAAGAATAACAAAATTATTGTTTTAGCTTCCTCCGTGGCCGATCATTCCGTCGAAGAACGTCTGAATCCCGTGGAGCACTCCCCCGACCTCCACAAGAGTTCTTCGAACCTTCAGCACGACCAGCAGTACCACATGATATGTCGCCTGAACTGTTCTACCTAAAACACAATCTCAGCATGTTGGAACTGCCCGAGGATTGGCCTTTAAGACAATCTGACATCACAATTCGAGAGGTTAAGGACGATCAAGTTATTTGTCAGCCAGGTGATCCAGATGACTCAATTATTGTGGTGTTGGAGGGCTCACTGTCAGTTTATATATCACTATCAGCGGGTAAAACAGTCATGGTGAAGCGGATTGATCCAGGTCAAGGTTTTTGTTCACTTTTGTCGTTATTGGATCTGTTGATGGACATTCCAAGCAAGTTTAAGACGGTCTCGGTTAAGGCTAACGATGTGGGCAAAATTGCTATGTAAGTTGAGGTTTTGGTGATTTTTGGGGGTTTTGGTTGATTGAATTATATTTTTTGATGTTTTGTGGTTAGAGTGATATCTTTTCTGTCAAATTGTGTGATTTTGTAGGTAGCGGTCAAGTAGTTTACCTAAAATTTTGGCTTTTGTGGCACTTACTATAATATAAGACTAAAATAAGGTTTTTTGGACTATTTTTCGATTTTTGATGACTAAAACTAATTTTTTGACGTTTTTTAGTTACGTTAATATCTTTTGTTTAAAAAGCTATGATATTTCATGAGCAGCATCCGTATTTTACCTAAAATCTCACTTTCTTCACCACCTATCTCACTATAGACATCAAGGATAATATTGCTTTATATCTTTCTGAATTTTAGATATTCTTTCCACAAATTCCGTCAAGATTTTAAAGAAAGACCTTATATTTGGACCAGGCCGATCCAAATCATCTGTACTAGGTTGCTACAAGTAACATTGACCACTTTAAATCAACATCTGGGCTTGGGAGAGGAGCTACTCAAAAGGGTAGGTTTTGGGTAGAAACTTGGATTTTTAGGTATTAGAATTGTTAGTTTAGGTAACATAAAGGCTTTATAAAGCTGTAAATGTATGGTACCAAGTTTATTTTAGGCTTAAAATGGTACTTTTGGTACAAAAAGCAACTTTTGCCTTTAAAAATTTTGTTTTTTGAGAGAATTTCATCTTTTTTACATGATAACTCTGCCAAAACTTATCATACCCCTACAAAATTACAGTATCACATACTTTAGAGACTGGACGACAAGTTCGATGACAGGCATCGTCATGTCTCCGGCCAGTCGGTCAGAGGAAACAAAAATCGGCCACAGCTCCGCCAACGACGAATGAGCAGCAGCGATGGTAGGTTTCACTTTTTGGCGGGATTTTTGAATTTTTAGGCTGATTATAATAGTGATATGGATGAAAAAGATATCGGAGGTTGATTCTGAAGGTAGTTGATATTGTTTTAGTAAACTTGATCGCACGATTCTTCAACTTTTTATCGGTTTTTTGAAAGTTTTAGGGGATTTTTGGGGAAAATTTTAGTTTTTTTAATTAAAAATGACATTTTTTATCAATGATTGGTAATTTTTGACTTTGGATAATGTCATACTGTATCTTCTACATCTTTTGAACAGTTTTTCAGTTTTCGTCTTTTTCAAAAAATGCCACTTTTGATCAAAAAAGTCTTGCACGGTGCAATTTTTAAAAATTTTGCACAGTGCAAGCTTAAAAATGCCTTGAATTTCCTGTGTCATGTCTCAATACCTCAACTTATCACTGAACTTTTCAATATTTCCTCGACCATTTCCAGCACTGTTAACTAAAATGCGCGGCCCTCTGACCCATTGCGCTTCCATCGACGAAACTTCGGCCGTTTTGCGGCGAAAAGACTCGCGACGAATCCGCGAAATGCCCATAATCGAGGGTTAGTTAGTGTGACGAGTCGTAGCTTATGATTTTTAAAAGGTTTTTGAACGCTGTTTTTTTTTTTGGTTGGTCAAAAGTTCTTGGAAGATTTTTGAGGGGGGGGGGGAGGTTAAAATTGCAATTGAAATTTTTTAAATTTTTAAAATTTATTTTTAATTTTAATTTTTAAAAACATTTTTTCAAAGCTTTTTTATAATTTTTGCAATTTTTTAATATTTTTTGCACCGTGCAAAGTTATAAACATTGCACTGTGCAGTCACTGTGTATGACTGCACGGTGCAGTCTAAAAAGACCTTTGCACTGTGCAATTGTAAAATAGGCTTTTGCACGGTGCAACTTTTATTTATAACAGCACTGCAGTCTAAGTAAAACTCTTGCACTGTGCAAACCTAAAAACATTGCACCGTGCAGCTCTTATAACATTTATAACTGCACGGTGCAGTTTAAAAGGCTTTGCACAGTGCAGTCTAAATAGATCTATTGCACGGTGCAATCAAGATAGCCATTGCACGGTGCAATAATTTTTTTGAATTAATCCTGCACCGTGCAATAGAAGTCAAGCTCTAAAAAGTTTTTAAAAATAATTCCGAGAACTTTTGATTAAACTTCCTACTAAAAATAGGTACAAAAACGATTTTTCTGGTTGATGTTGTGAGTGCCGGTTTCGTTGTGGTTTCAAGCCCCTTCTTTGGACTATTTTTAGTTATTTTATGGATATTGTGATTGATAGTTGGTCATTTTTTCTATTATTGTGGATTTTATATTGTGATATGCTTCTTCAATCTATTGCACATTGATTTAACGCTTATTTCTGTTGATTTTAGGTAACAATTTTTTTTGGATTTAGGTATGAAATTTTATGTTTTGGCGGTTTTTAAGATTCCTGGGGGATTTTTAGGTATAAAATAAGGTTTTTAAAGTTTTTTGTTACCTAAAATACGGAGTTTTAAGTCTTTTTGGCTAAAAAACCTGGTTTCGTGGCTTAACTGTTATCTAAAATAAGGTTTTTTAAATATAAGTTGGGCTTAATACAGGATTATATATTTTAAATGTTACCTAAAATTATGTTTTTAACTCTGTTTTGGCCAAAAACAATATTTTTTACTCTTTTTGTTACATAAAATTTGATTTTTTAGCTTTATTTTGATCTAAAACAAACTTTTATACTTTTGATGTTACCTAAAATAAGGTTTTTAGCTAATTTTTTGACTTTAAAGGAAGTTTTTTGGGTTTTTTGTTACCTAAAAATTGGTGTTTTGGCCAAAGAATGGGTTTATTGGCTTGATTTTGACATAAAACAAGGTTTTGTTGGCATTATTTTGGCCTAAAACAAGGTTTATTAACATTAGTTTGGGACTGGCTCAAGGTTTTTTGGCATGATTTTGACCTAAAACAGGCTTTCTTACTCTTTAATTTGACCTATAGCGAGGTTTGTTACCTTTTTTTGCTCTAAAACAAGCCTTTTTACTATTACTATTACCTAAAACAAGATAACCATGAAGCTTTTGAGTGTAGTGCAATATTGTGATGCCCTGATATTGTTCCTCTCGATCTATCACAGCCTAACACAACTAATACAACCCAATTTTAGACCAGGCCGACCTCCAAAACACGGCCGTTAAATGGTTCGGCGAAGCGTTACAGCTAGCCCAAGTCGATGCGCAACGCCTCCTGACCGGTCGATTAACCGTGAAACACTACGAAGACGGCCAAGTCCTGGTCGAACAGGGCGCGGTCGAAAACGCCCAGTTGATAATGGTGGTTCATGGCGCATTAAAAGTGTCACAAGAGGCGGATGAAGAGGATAATGAAGCCGACCAGACCTATATGACATTCGTACAGCCAAAGGAACTGGTTGGGGGACTTCAGGTAAGGAAGAGTGTTGAGAGTTTTTCAATAGGAGGTGGTAGGGGAAGAGGGAGGTTTGTGAGAAAGGGGGGGGAGGGGGAGGGGTAAAAAATGAAATTTTGTGAGAGGGGGAGGGGGGTTAAAACTTTAAATTTGTGAGAAGGGGTGGGCGGGGTGTTAAAAACGAAAGTTTGTGAGAAGGGGGTGGGGGGGGGTAAAAAATGACATTTTGTGAGAAAGGGGGGGGTGGGGTAAAAAATGAAAATTTGTGAGAAGGGGGGGGAGGGGTAAAAAAATGAAAATTTGTGAGAAGGGGGGGGGGGGGGGGTTAAAAACGAAAGTTTGTGAGAAGGAGGTGGGCGGGGGTAAAAAATGAATTTCTTTTTGGGGGGGAAGGGTCAAATCAAAAAAAATTTTTGAAGGATAGTTTCATTAAAGGGTGGCCTTAAGATGGGATGAACAAAAATTTTGGGGGTGGAAATTTTTTTACCGTACTCCTGTCACTGCCGCTGCTCCCACTTCTACCCTTACTTCTTTCTATCCTCTATTCTGCCTTACCCATATCAACATTACTCTACCCCTCCCTTGCCCCATACCTACATAGTAATTAATGTTGATATTGTTGTAGCTCCTGACCAACGAGCCCTCCTTCTTCAACATTGCCACTTCAGGCCCAACTACGGTCGCCATGCTGGATCGCCAGGCCTTTGCGGAGCTGTTGGATATTCGACCGAAAATTTGTCTACCGGTCGCTTCCTGGGTCCATCGTCGTCTGTCGACCTTTGTCAGAGCGGTCGATTTCGCAATCGACTGGGTCCTACTCGACTCGGGCCAGGCCGTCTACCGCCAAGGTGATATGGCCGAATCGCTTTTCGTGGTGTTAAGTGGTCGATTACGGTCGGTCGATAAAAATACGGCAATCGAAGAGTTTGGCCGGGGCGATACACTCGGTATGCTGGAGGTCCTACAACGAAAACCTCGCCAAACCACGGTGTTAGCGGTTCGATACTCACAGTTGGCCAGAGTACCAGAGGGGCTATTGAACTTTGTCAAGATGCAGTTTCCACAGGTAAGGGCTTTTGTTATTTTTTTGGGTGGGCGGGGTAAAAAAAATTTTTTTAGGGGGGGGGTAAAAATATTTTTTTAGGTGGGAGGGGGTTAAATTTATTTTTTTAGGGTCGGGTGGTGTAAAAACTTGATTTTTTTAATGGGCGGGGTAAAATGTTTTAGGGGGGTGTGGTAAAAAAATTTTTTTTTCGATTTTTTGTTTTGTAAAAAAAGGTATTGCGATTTCAACCTTTGTAAGGAAAGTTTTTGCGGTTTCAAGCATTGTAAAGAAAGTTTCTGCCATTTTCTTAATTACAGGGTGCGCGCAATGTTCTGTTACACGGTTTTTTAATCAAATATTTTTTTAACAACAAATATAACTAAAACAACAACTAAAAATAGTAACATATAGTACTAGTTATAACATAGTCAATCGGTTTCGATGTATCCCCCCTTTGCGGCTTGGCACAAGCGTAAACGCTTCAAAAAGTTTTCAGCGACCGGCCGCTGTACCTCCGGTGACAGTTTGCCCCACTCTTCGATCAATGCTTGTTTAAAAGACTCCAAGTTTTGGTGTCTTCTACAACACACCCTAGCCTCCAATATCGACCACACACAATAATCCATAGGATTGAGATTGGGATAATATGGAGGCCATTCAGCAGATGCAACGAAGTCAGGAAAATGGGTTCGACATCACTCTTGCGTTGATTTTGCTTTATGGGCCGGTTCAGAGTCTTGCTGAAAGATCCATGCGGCACCTTTGAAGCTTCTGAGCTGAAGGGAGTACCACAGCTTCCAAAATGTCGCTTTGATACACTTCTTTGTTGATCTTCACGCCTTCATCGACAAAAATCAAAGGAATCTTGCCCGAAGCACAGATACTGGCCCAAACCATAATGCCCCGAGGGTGTTGACGACTTGCCACGATAGCTTCAGCTTTAGGAGGCTCTGTTGAGTATTATTTGTCATTTTGGGGATTGTAGGCCTCTGTACAATGTAAATATCTTCTCATCAGTGAAAAGAATTCGTTCATATTTTTGACCAGCGGCCCGCTGCTGAAGCAGTTTACATCTTTTGAAACGTACTGTCTTGTTTTCTTCAGTTAGCTTCTGAACTTTTTTGAGTTTGTACGTCTTTATCTTAAGTTTCTTTCCCACTATGCGCCCTAAAGTAGTTTCTTTGATTCCCGTCCTCCGGCCCATTTTTCGTACTGGGGCCCGTGGATTTTGCTTGAAGCGCTTCTTGATCATCTGACGATTGGCCAAGGTGTTAACAGATGCTGGAGACCAACTTCTAGGTCCGTCACGGTCATGTCTAAGCTCTTCAAAACGTTTTACGGCTCTGTGGACTGTCATTCTTAAAATATTCAACAATTTCGCGACTTTGGGGTTACTTTTTCCTTCATTATTTATTTTGATGACGGTAGCCCTCATGTTTGACATCTAAATACAGACAGACGGCAGACTATTGAGACTTAACTTTTATGATTATGCAATAAAAAAACCACGGAGAATAAGACAAAATAAACAATTTTAAATAATCTAACCGCAACATATAGAAAACGACCGGTAAAGTTTTGTAACAGAACATTGCGCGCACCCTGTAAAGACTAAAATTTGCATTTACAGGTCGGATTCCGACTAGTCCGTCTACTAGGCCAGTTCTTCAGCGACTCCAAGCGGCCCATCTCAATGGCCCCACCCCACTCCAGCTACACCATGGACCAAAGCGCGACGGAACCTCTAAGCCAGCTCAAGAACCTACATACCATAGCAGTGATGCCGGCCTCATTGGACGTACCCCTAACCGCCTTTACATGCGAACTCTACCACGCCCTCAACACCCAAACCCGCGTCCTAAGGCTAAGTTCGAAGCAAATCGCTCAAACTTTGGGTGATTCGGTCCTCGAGAAGCAGGCCGACTTCCGGCTAATGCATTGGCTGAACGCTCAAGAAGACACTTACCCCCTGGTCATCTACGAATGCGACTACACGGCTACTAACTGGACTAGACGCTGCTTGAGACAGGCCGACTGCATATTGTTTGTTGGACTCGGGCAGGTCAAACCACCCAAGAAACAGTTTGTAAGTTTTTTGAAAGATGGGGGGTACGGTAGGGTAAAGGGCAGTAGGGTAGGGTAAAGTAGGGCAGGGTCGGGATGAGGAATGATAAGGACAGGGCAGTAGAGTAGGATAGGGTATGGTCGTGTAGGTCTGGGTAGGTTAAAGTAAGGTATTTATAATAAGGTAACACAGAGTATGATGAGCTATGGTAGTATAAAGTACAGTATGCTAGATTAGATTTGGGTGACGTTATGACATGATAAGGGTAGGGCGAGGTAGATTATGATATGTTAAGGTATGTTAGGGTAGGGTGGGGTACAGTAGTACAAAGTAAGGGTAAGGTAGAGTAGAGTAGGGTAGGGCAAGGCAGACCAATATAGGTTAGAGTAAGATACGGTAAGGCAATGGTATATTAAAGAAAGGCGTATTGATATAAGGTACAGTAGGGTAGTATAAGATACGGCAGGTTATAGTAGAGTCAGATATGATAGAATAATACAGTAATGTAAAAATTTAATTTCTGCCATTTCCAGATCGAAGACCATCTAAAAATGAACCAAGACGGTATTCGAACTCGAAAAGAGCTGGTCCTATTATGGAAAGAGGAGTTCAAACAACCGACCGGCACCTTCAACTGGCTTAAAGGCAGCTGGTTCAGTGGACACTGTCACGTCAGAGCCAGCTCTCGAATGTTCAAGTGGGGGTGGAACGCGGACGAGAAGGAGGTGATACGGTACTACGAGGAGCACGTCTTCAACAAAAAACTCGATTTTAATTCGGATTTCGCTCGTCTCGGCCGCTGCCTCACCGGCAACGCCGTAGGCCTGGTACTGGGCGGCGGCGGAGCGAGAGGTGCGGCTCATCTCGGCATTATTAAGGTAGGTCTTGGGGTTGGGTTTGAATGGTTAATATTTTGGATTGGGCGTGGGTAGAAAAAAATTTTTTTAGGCGGGGTAATTTTTTTAAATTTTGGAGAGTGGGGGGGGATAGTTTTTTTTTGGGGTGGGTATGAATGTGGCTTTGAGTTGGGCGGGGTAAACGCTTATTTTTTTGATTGGGGGGGGGGCACTTTTTTGTAACGTTTTTTTGATTTTGATAGCAGAAAAATTTTTGTTTGTGACTTTGGGTCATTTTCTTGTGACAAGGATTGTTTTTTTGGGCGTGGTATTTTTTAAAAATTTTTTTGAAAGGGTGGTTTTTTGTTTTTTATGGCTATGCATGTTAATCCCAAGCCTATAAAACCCGTATTTTAGGCCATCCGCGAACACGGAATACCAGTCGATATTGTGGGCGGCACTTCCATCGGCGCAATGATCGGCGGATGCTTCGCGGACAACCCCCACCTGGACGTGGAGGAGCGGGTCAAGGGCTGGTTCTCGGTTATGTGCGTGCTGTGGCGCAAAATCATGGATCTCACTTACGCGTACTCGGCCATGTTCACTGGTGCTGGCTTCAACAAAACGTTGCAGGATCTGTTCGGCGACCGTAATATTGAGGACATGTGGCTACCCTACTACTGTATCTCAACTGATATATCGTAGGTTTTTTAGTTTTTTTTTGGGTAGGGGGCTGTAGGATAGGGCAGAGTACTGTAGATTAGAGAACTGTGGAGTAGGGTAGGGTAGCGTGGGATAAATTAAGGCAGAGTAGGATACGGTAGAGTACGTTAGTGTAGAATAGGGGTACGGTAGGGTAGATTAGGGTAAGTTAGAATAGAGAAACCTTAAGAAGGGTATGTTAGAGTAGGACATCTTAAGGTAGGAAATTTTAACACGAAAAATCGGTATGTGACGAAATGTTAAAAAAGTTATTGGATTTTTAGAAAGCCTCAATTTCTTCGGAAAAGTTATAATATTACTGTATTTTTATATTTCAATGCAATTTTAGTCATTTTTTACTGATGGACGAAATGTCACAAAAATTATTGGTTTCATTTTTTGTGCTATAACTTTGAAAAAAGCATTAATTTTTCGTTTATAAAGAAAGTTATTGCTATAATCAATTTAACCTTATTTTTTTAACTTACAGTATTAATTTCTTAACTTACAGTACCTCCGAAATGCGAGTACATCGTCAAGGACCAGCGTGGGCCTACGTCCGTGCCTCAATGTCGCTGGCCGGTTACCTACCCCCGCTCTGTGACCCCAGCGATGGTCACCTCCTCCTGGATGGTGGCTATGTCAACAATCTACCGGCCGATGTGATGCGAAGCATGGGCGCGAAGTGTGTGTTTGCCTGTGACGTCGGGTCAACATCCGAGACCAATCTCTACAACTACGGTGACTCGTTGAGCGGCTTCTGGGTGCTGATGAAGAAGCTGAACCCCTTCTCCGAACCCATCTCCATCCTCAACATGGAAGAGATCCAGACCCGGTTAGCCTTCGTCTCCTGTGTGCGACAGCTGGAGCAGGTCAAGAAGGCGCCGTACTGTCACTACCTCCGGCCCAACATCGACGGCTACAAGACGTTGGAGTTCAACCGCTTCGACGAAATCCTCCAAGCCGGCTTCGACTACTCGGCCCACGCCATGGCCGAACTGGTCGCCAACAACGACAACGTGAAGTCGGTCATGAACCCGGACATCCTGAAGAGTCTGACCAGGAAGAACCGGCGAAGAGAGCGGGCCCAGTCCATGCGAAACTCATTCACCGACCTGGCCGCCCAAATCTCCCGCATCCCCAACAAAAAGTACACGGGATCGTTGACGGACGTAAGCGTGTTCGATGAGGACTGGATGGACGATGATTGTAAGTTAAAGGTTTATATTAGAGTAGGTGGTCAATATTGTAGTAGAGGGTTTGAAGATGGATATTATACTTGAGCTATGTTGTAGTAGACGGATAAGATTGTAGTAGAGGGTTAATGTTGTAGTAGATGGTTTGAGTATGAAAAACTGAGTTTTTAAATTTAGGGTAAGGATGAATTGATGATGATTGTAAGCTAAAGGATCATGTTATAGTAGGTGGTCAATGTTGTAGTAGATGGTTTGAGGATAGATATTATACTTGGTCTATGTTATTGTAGATGCTTAATATTGTAGTAGACGGTTTGAGGATTGAAAACTGAGTTTCAATGTTAGGCTAAGTGGGTTGAGTTCTTCTTGAGGTACTGTATGTTTTAGGTACGGTATACTTTGGTCATGATAGTTTGGGTACTGTATGATTTAGGACAGTATGTGGGGTATAGGGAAATAGGGGGGGGACAGGGGTACGGTAGGTGGGGTATGGTAGACTTTTCAGGGTAGGATACAGTAAGCGTCTTAAAATTGGCTTACTCTACCCTACATTTCTCTACCGTATCTTATGTTATTTTAACATTCTCTACCTTGCCCTTCCATACCCTATCCCCTACCCTCTACCATACCCAAAGTTACCCTACCATAACGTAACGTACCGTGTTCTGCTTTACAATATTTTTTTTTCATTTTTTAATTTTACTCTATCCTGACCTATTCTACCCTACCCGACTTTACTCTACCTTACCCTATTCTACCCTACCTTACCCTACTTTACTCTACCTTACTCTTTACCTTACCCTACTCTTACTGTAGTGAAATGAGTGATTAAAAAGTAAATAGGGTTTTTTGATGAAGTTTAAAAAAAATTTTTTAAAATATTTTTTTGAAATTTTAAAATGGTCGATTTTCAGACGATTCGAGCGAATTCGACTCCTACGACGACATGAGCGAAGCCGAAACGGACGCGGACCTGAACGCCACAACACGAACTCAAACCCCATTAATTTAGGAACTTTAATCGAACTAATAAGTGAAATCACGTTGGCGGATCAAAAGTTTTTGGAAATTTAAAAATTTTTGAAAAAAAAAATTTTTTTGAAATTTAATTTTTCGGCTAAAAACTTTTTGGCCGGCCCCCAAGAATCGCCTTAAAACAACGGGTACGATAATCAGGGGCGTGGCTAGAGTCATTTTTAATTTTCAGGGGGGTGATTTTGTAAAAAAAATTTTTTTTACCAAATCTACCCCTCCCCCAAAAAAAAGCTTCTAGCAACATCCCTGCCCCCACATTATTCTCCTTTCTTTTGTCTTTTTCTTTCTTAACACTCACTTTACGAATAGGCTACGGATCTCAGAGTATTATTGTTATTAGTGTCAATTTGCACTACTAAGGAACCCCCACAACTACAATAACTTAGCGGGTAACGACACACGGTTTAGATATTAGGGATGATTTTGTAGAGATTTGCTCGATTGTTCATTGTTCGCAAATAAATGTTTATATTGTTATAGGTTTTGAAGTTTTAAATTGAAAAAAATGTGTTTATAAAGAAAGTTTTTGCAATTTTGGGTTTTGTAAAGAAAGTTCTTGCAATTCTTGGTCTTATAAAGAAAGATAAGTCCCAGAGGTGCCGTTTTAGTTGATTTAAATTTAAAAACATGACTTTTCACTGCACCGTGCAAAATTTTAATTTTTTTGCACCGTGCAAAGATTTTCTTTTTTTGCACTGTGCAATTTGTAACAAATTTTAGGTAACAAATCTTGCCAGAACATTTAGTCTAGACTAAAAAAAACTAATAAAACCAGTTTCACTTTGATAGTCTTAAAAAGAATGACATTATGAATTTTCAAAAGATGACTGCACCGTGCAATCCAAAACCACGATTGCACCGTGCAGAAAACCTTAAAATTAATGCCATTTTTGATAAATCTAATATAGAAATAACATCTAAATTTATTTCTAATCATAAAAATTCAAAAATCAATGAAAAAACAAGACTTTCATACCCAGAATGCTACGTTCCAACACAAAGCACCACCATTTTGATAGAACACGCGGCCTTCTGAGCGTGGCCAAAGAGCGGCCGATGAGCGGATAAGGGTGAAGCCCAAGCGAAATGTGCCGAATCGCCTGACCTCCAATCCAGACAGTTGTGGGTTTCGGATTCTGAAGTTGGCGGCGAAATACCGTGCCATAACCATCCGTCCGACCTGAAACATGGATAATATCGGGTTTTTGGTCGATAAAAGACTGGAGTAGACTAAAATTAAAATTTTAAAATCTTTAAAGTATCGTACAGAGTATTTTAAAGGTTACTTTCAAAAGGTGTGGTAATTGCCCTTGTTTTAGGTAACAAAAATTCATTTTCAAAAATAAACGTCAGATATCTAGTATAATATCATTTTTGGGCGATAAATGTTCGGAATCGACCAAAATTGAAATTTTAGACTATTCACAATATGGCACAGAGCATTTCAAAGGTTATTATTCAAAGTTTGTAGCAATGGGTCTTGTTTTAGGTATCAAAAATGAATTTTTAAAAATTGTTGGCAGATATCTACTACAATATGGTTTTTGATCCATAAAAGTTTAAATAACAGCTAAAATTCATAGTCTAATGCAATTCAAGTAAAACAAATAGTGTTCTTTACCTAATTATAAAACATCATGACAATTGGTATTGTGTTAGATATCAAAAATTAATTTCCAAATTAGGAGTGTCAGATATCTACTACAATATAAGTTTTAGTCGATAAGTATTCGGAATCGGCCAAAACTGAAATTAAAAAGCTATCACAGTAAAATAAAAGGTATTTTTTACCTAATTATAAAAAATCATGTCAATTTATATTGTTTTAGATACCAAAACTCCATTTTCAAAATTGGGGGTCAGATATCAACTACAATATAATTCTTGGGCAAAAAAATGAAAAACAGCAAAAATTTGAAAAACCGTGCTTCTTTTTGTAAAAAACGATGTATGGTCTTCCGCATAGTTAGAAATGTGTAAATCCATATTGTTTTAGATATCAAAAATGAAAATTTAAAAAACCAGACATTAGATACCTACTATAACATCAATTTTTAGCCAATATCTCCCAAGTTTTTAAAAAATTCGGACATACAATGAAAATACAATAAAACAAAGAACATACCAAGCCCCATTATGAAGTATATTCCGTTTGTCAAAGGTGTATAAAGAGGCGGCTTGTAGCGAAACTTCTCCAAAGACCCGATCCCAAGAATCGAACAGTCTAGAGCCATAAATGTTGACGACTGGCCAGGTTTGTTGATATGACTTGACTAGTGTCCTTGGGTTCTGAAAAAAATAAAAAATAAAAAAAAATTTAATTTCTCATGCCTTACTTTATAAAATGGCATTGCACGGTGCAAACCACACCCTTACTACTTTACCCTACCCTACTCCACCCTAAACCCTACAGTAAACAGCTCCACCTACCCTGTTACGACCATAAACCAAAGCCTTGAACTCTCCGCCAACTCCATTAGCCCTGGCTTGTAGCACACATTGTTGATCCAACTTGTCCATGCCTCCAGCCAACCCACTGACCGGTCGATTCAATGGTACCAGCTTAATGGTACTACCCAGTCCGTCGTTGATTAATGGTGCTCTTGGTCTCAAATTGAAAATGCGTGCCTGTTCCTCATCGATTTGGGTGTGTTCTGGGTAGTTTTGGGCCGGAGTGGCAGTCTTAGCCAAATTTTGACTTTCGGCCCAATTTGAATTTAAACTACCGGCCAAATTTAAATTTTGATGAAAATTTGTCACCACATCCACGTTTTGGTTCAAATTAGTACCGTACTGTTGATTTCGACAAGTTTCAAATGATAATCCACCGGTCCAAATGTCCTCAGACTTTGCGTCTGGTCGGCATGGTCGAGGCGGCCGAACTGAAGGTGGAGGGCGAGGAAGCGGATCCAGAATTGTCTCATCCAACTAGAATATTAAACATAAAACATTTTTCAAAAAAAAATTATTTTTTTGCACAGTGCAAACAATTTTTTGGATTGCACAGTGCAGTCATTTTTTAAAAATTTACTGTGCCATTATTTTTAAAGCTATCATAGTAAAAATAAGTTTAGTAGCTTTTTCTGAGCCCCGACTAAAAGGTAAGACAACAATTGTTACCTAAATTTTGTCACAAATTGCACAGTGCATAAAACAAAATTTTTTGCACGGTACAAGAAAATAAAAATATTGCACGGTGCAATCAAAATCATCTTTTTTAATGCAAAAATGAATTTAAATCGCTTTTTTGAAAACAAATATAGCAAGAACTTTCTTTACAAATCAAAAAATAGCAAAAACTTTCTTTACAAAACAAAAAATGGCAAGAATTTTCTTTACAAAACAAAAATGGCAAGAGCTTTCTTTACAAAACCTACCCGAACCAAAGCGAATCCACTGTTAGTCCTAATGAAAAGCCTTTGGGAATCCAATGCGAACGCCAACATTCCCTCTGGCACGCCGTTTTTGGCCTTCAGAAGCTCGTCTTCGGTTTTGAAGACTTTGTTCTGAAATGGCACTGTAATTTAGATAATATAGACACTTAAGATAATATAGACTTATATGTATTATAGTTTAAGACAACTTACAGTAGACGAGGCTGCTACAAAAGCGTTTTTTAGAATGTCATCCACCTTTTGCTTTACAATTTGATCAATTTGGGACCATTTTTCATCACAATTACACTAAAAATACAGTAGATATTAGTATGAGGTTACTGTAGGTGAGAGTAGAGTAAGGTAGGACAAAATTAAAATGACAGAACAAGGCAGAGCAGGGCATGACAAAGTGGGATAGAGTACAGTAGGGTAGAGAAAGGCGGGGTAGGATAGGGAAAGGTGGGTGAGGTAGCCTAGGGTCGGGTAGACTATAGTAGAGTAGGGATAGATTAACTTACTTCACCCGACTCCCCGGGTGGTCCAGCTTCGCCTGGCTCTCCTTTCAAATAATGCGGCTTTCGAAAAGGCAAGTACTTTTCTTTCGCTTCTTTGAACCCTGCCTAAAATAAAAAATTTTAAATTTTACGTTCTACCACCCCAGTACCAATCCTACCACCCAACAGTACCATTAACCAACAGTACCATTAATCAAAAAAAAAATTTTTTTTTCATCAAAAACAAGCTTATAAAGACCCACCTGATTCTTCGGTAGCCTAGCCAACACATTTCCATGTATTTTGGTGTAAACTGGACCTTCTGGTACACTTTTCAACAAACTTTGTTCAGCCTGCTCGGACGGCAAACCTCGAACATATTCAGGTTCATCTTCCAAATTGTAGTTGATAGCTACTGATTTCACGCTATGATCTCGAGTTTTGAAGGTTGAACGGGTTTGGGCGGTGATTAGAAGAGGTAACAGTAGGTATATTAACATGACTGAAGAAGACTTTAATTAGGTATATAAGGCATTTAAACATATTTTTCTAAAAACTATTGTTAACATAGCAATAATACACCTATTTTATGTCTTAAAACTGAAAATAGTACTAATAGTACCAATAGGATCATTTCACAAAAAATTTCAAAAAAATTAAAAATTGACAAAACACCCCTAGAATAACAAATTTTTCATTTTTTCAAATTTAAAGCCTTTAACAAACGTTAACAATTTATTTTTGCACTGTGCACTTTTATTAAACCTGCACGGTGCAGACAAAAAATTAATAAAAAGCAATAATCTCTTCTAATCAACTAAAATTAACAAATATTACCTAAACTAACATAAAAATTCAACTTTTACAAAATTTCGAAAAATTGTACTAATGGTACAGCTTTTGGTACCAATAGTACCAATTGACAAAAAATTAAAAATTCCAAATTTAAGCTAAAATCTACTTCAAAATAAATAAAATAACCAAAAAATCCAAAAATATTGCCTAATTTCGATTAATTTCAAATTTAAAACCAAAAATCTTCCAACTTCTAATCAGTCGAAATCCATTCAAATCGCCGCAAAATCAACAAAGAAAAAGCGGAATTCGAATATAAATAAAAAGTGAACAGCTATTTTTGCATGTCTTTGTCAAATTTTTCGAGTTTAAAGTGGCAAAAACTGCAACATCCACTAAAAATGAAGGATGAATCAGAGTTTCCAAGGATTTTTCCGGTTTTTTAGTCGGATCATAAGAACGGATTCGAAAAGTGATTAGGAATTAGAATAGTTGTGTTCTTGTGGTCTTAAAATATCATTCTACATTTGTTTTAGTTTAGTTTAGCTAACAATAACTTTAAAAAGACGACTTATTATTTTTTGCACGGTGCAGTCAAAATAAAAGGCATTGCATCGTGCAGCCCAAATTGATCTTTTTTTCATGAAAAAACCATTTTAAAAAATTTAAAAAATATTAAAATAAACAAAAACCAACTTCCTAAACCTACTTTCTCACTCTAATTTAAAATATACCTAAAATTGTACCATTAATACAACTAGTGTACCATTAGTACCATTTGACAAAAATAATAAAACACAAGAAAAAATTTATAAAATACGATTTTTAGTGTACTATATAGTTGTTTTGGCTTTCCCTTTTCCAGTTTTTTAAAAAATAAAAGCCTTATTGTAAGCACTATAGTCTGCACGGTGCAGCCTTCATTTCTTTGCACCGTGCAATCACTTTCCAAACATTTTTAAAACTTGACAAAAACTAGCTAAAAAAACAAAATTAGTAAAACACATCGTATTTTAACATCAATTTATTGTCAAAAATCATGGGATTCAAACTCACCTGATTTGGCGATTCTAAAATGTTTTCAAGAATCACCAGATTTTCAACAAAATTAAGATCAGCTGCTGATTTAACACCATTAACAAGTCAAATGTTGCTGAAACAAGATCGAATGAAACACCTTCTTTTGGTTTTTCATCTACTATCTGACTCATTTGTGCCCAAATCAAAATAAACATTCCAAAAGGCCACACAGATTTGCAAGATTTATGGGGATCACGGTGTGAAAAACGGTCGAAATAAATGAAAATGAACTGTTAAAGCTGGTGAAATTAGTTTCTTTAGATAGATAAAACCTTGTTAAACCTTTACTTATTAATTTTGGGTCAATAAATTTTGGCATTTTTTCAGAATTTCAAAAATTCGAGCATGAACCATGGTGAATATCTAAAAATAGTCAAAAACGCCTTTAGATAAATGTGAAAACCACTGAATTGAACTTCCTTAGATAGCCAAAACCTTGCAGAATCTTTATTTATTAACTTTGAGTCAATAAAGTTTGGCACTTTTTCAAAATTTCAAAAATTCGAGTCTGAATCATGGTGAATATAAAAAAAACAATCGAAATGAATAAAAACAAACTTTTGAACTGTCGAAATTGGGTTCACTAGATAGATAAAACCTTGTAGAAACTTTGTATATTAACTTTAAGTCAATAAAGTTTGGCATTTTTCCAAAATTTTGAAAGTTCTTCAAAAATTTCCAATTTTTGTCTCATGGATAATATAACCCTTGAATTATATACTTTTAATTTGTGCCTTTGACGAAAACCTTAAATTCTTGTCCACGAAAAAATTCTCATAATTTTATGTGATCCCTATTTCTGTCTGATTGCCGTCGGCATTAGAGAAAAATTAGAGAACGCACAAAATTATGAGAGATTTTTCGTGGACAAGAATTTAAGGTTTTCGTCCGAGGTACAAATTAAAAGTATATAATTCAAGGGTTATATAGTGATCAAAATTAACGTCCAATGTGTTTCAATTAACAGAGATGACCTTTAAAATACTATTATGACTCTTACTTAACTATATACATAAACATGGCCACAACTAAAGCCATTAACACTTTGAAAATTCATATTGTTCATGACCCTCACCTTATATCATGAATAACATGTTTTATCAATTTCTCATTAAAAAGCCTGCGTATTACCAATTCCTTCACAAAAAATCATGTAAAATACTATTTCCAATAATATTTAAACTTACAATTTCATAAAAATTTCGAAAATTAGCATAATTCATTAAAATATCGCCGTATATACAGTCCACCACAGTAAAGACAAATTCAAATAAAATTTGATATTTATTCCAAACTCAATCAAAACAAACGTCAACAAAGGTAAAAATTTAACGTTATGATCAACCGTATAACATGAACAATAAAAAATGTCAAAAATCAACAATAATATTCAACAACATGTATGAATGGCATTTTAGCACCTAAAACATCCAAAAATGCCATTTTCAAATACAATTTTACAACTTGTAAGCCGCCGCATTCTTGCCCTGCAACTTGGCCTTCTGAACCTTCTTCATCTTCTTGGCCTTGGTCATTTTGTCTGTAGATTCTTGTTGATTCAGCTCTTGAATCTTGTCGTAGAAGTCGGCTTGTTTGACCTTCTTCACGGCCTTTTTCTTTGATCTTTCTTTCTCTTCCAGCTCCTTGGCCGCTTTGTATTCGCCTTCTTTCTTGACTCCCTTCTTGACTAGGGCTCTGAAAAGATTTTAATTTGAAAATTGTGACCTAAAATTCAGCAAAATCGTGAAAATATTACCTAAAATTTGAAAAACAAGCCTAAATATTAACTAAAATTTGAAAACCAAGCCAAAATATTACCTAAAATTTGAAAAACAAGCCTAAATATTAACTAAAATTTGAAAACCAAGCCAAAATATTACCTAAAATTTAAGAATCAGACCAAAATCATACCTAAAAATTAAAAAACAAGCCAATTTCTTACCTAAAATTTAACAAAAAGCCAACAACTTATTTAAAAACCCCAAAATCCTCAAAATATTACCTAAAAACCCCTAAAAAATAACCAATCCTTTCACTTACCCCTGCTTTTTTCTTCTTCTTTCTGCGTTCTCTCAGCTTATCAGTCTTATCTCGTTCTTCCTTTGACTTCATCAGCCCCTTGGTTCTCTTCTTAATCTCTTCTGGAGCCAAGAGGTCTTCGTCCGCAGCTGTAGCAGCCTTCTGACCAACTTCTTCCACCTGGATCGCCGGCTTATTGACTATTAACTGAGGTTCATCATCAGCGACGTTCGGCCGGAACTTGGCATGGCTTAATTGGTCAATTTTCGTGAACACAGAGTCCATGGCGGCTTTGATTTGCTTGGATTCGTCGTCCAGCTCCATGGCTTCTTCATCTTGATCTGAAAAAGAAGATATCAAGAAAAGTTGTGATTAGCATGGTTTTTCGGCCCAAAATGAAATTTTCATACCTTTTCAGCCAAAACCGGCCATTTTTAGACCCTTTTTGCGCTAAAACACTAATTTCTATAAATTTTTTAACCTCAAAATTTAATTTCTATAAATTTCTAAACCCATGCCCTTCATTTCTACGTACTTTTTGATCTAAAAACACTAATCTTTCCACCAAAAAACTCAAATTTCCGCCAAAAAACCTAAAACAACATGGCTTATCAACCATCTTTTCCCAAAAAAACCCACCGTTCTGGTCTTTTTGATCCACCTTGCTCTTATACTCCTGTTTATACATCTCCATGAGACTCTTACGCTCCACATCGTCCAATGTTTTGGCACGGTAGGTCTGAAGAGACTGTGCTACACGCTTTGTTCGAATCGGATCATCAAAGGCCTTGTCCTTGATCCTTTGCTTGACAATAGCTTCGATCCGTTGATTCACGTCTTCGTCGATGATCGGCGCTGATTTGGCTTTATAATCGACTTCAACATACTTCTCTAGAAGGCCATCTTGATCACGTTCGGTTGCCTTCACCTCTCCGCCAAACTCCCACGGCTGTGGGCCCAGATTCTGGTCTTCGAACTTGTTGATGGCTTGTTTCATCTGAAAATTGAGAAAAAATTACAACTTTCACAAGTCTCTCATTTTAAAAATTTAAAAACTTTTGAGAATTTTGTATTTATAGCACGTCGAAAAAAAGGAAAATAGGGAAATTCGCGGTGGGCGCAACCCGGATTTATTTTTTCAAAAAACAACGGAAAGTACAACTTATACGATATGATTTGTAAAGGAAGTTCTTGCCATTTTTTGTTTTGTAAAGAAAGTTTTTGCCACTTTTTGATTTTCAAAGAAAGTTCTTGCCATTTCTTGTTATGTAAAAAAAGTTCTTGCCATTTTTTGTTTTGTAAAGAAAGTTTTTGCCATTTTTCAGTTTGTAAAGGAAGTTCTTGCCATTTTTTGTTTTGTAAAGAAAGTTTTTGCCACTTTTTGATTTTCAAAGAAAGTTCTTGCCATTTCTTGTTATGTAAAAAAAGTTCTTGCCATTTTTTGTTTTGTAAAGAAAGTTCTTGCCAAAAAACAAAAGCTTACCTGTTTCTGTTCCCTCTTAAACCTTGTCACATCTTCCTCATCTTCATCCGACCCCAACGGCTCCAGTTCTCTTTGATCCACTTCCATTTCTTCGTCTTCTTCTTCTAATTCGTCACCATCTTCCATCAGATCGTCTTGTTCCAGTTCATCTCCAGCTTCTTCTTCATCCATTTCTGCATCCAACTCGTCTTCATCAATATGACCTTCAGCAACGTCCTCGAAGAAGTGCACCTTCTTGGACAAATTGGACATTGTAGTGAGGTTGGCGGTCGATTCAAAGACATTTTCTTGCTCTTCGTCTGGAACTTTTTCTTCTTGGGGTTGTTCATCAACTTCTTCTTCTTCATCGTCTTCTATTTCTTCTTCATCTTCTAATTCTTCTACTTCTTCTTTCTCAGCTACTTCATCTTGACCTTCTGCTTCTTCTTTTTCATCCTCAATCCCAACTTCTTGATCCTTTACTTCTTCTCCTTGACTTTCAACTTCATCTTCTTGATCATCTACCTCTACACCTTGATCTTTTGAATCTTCATCATCATCTTCCAATGTTATCACGTCTTCCTTACTTTTGTTCAACTTTTGTTGATCTTGCAATTCATCTTGAACTTGTACAAGTACTTCTGGTTCTGTCTCAACTTCTTCATCATCTGTATCCAAGGATTTGTCAGCTTTTTTAGCCGATCTTGGCGTGTTTTGGACCGTTTTTGGAGATTTTTGGGCCGTTTTTGGAGATTTTTTAGCCTCTTTAGTCGGTGAAGGCGTCTTCAAAGCTTTGGCAGGAGTTCTCTTAGCCGATCTCGGTGTCACCACCTTCCGGTCTTCATCTTCATCAACTTGATCGTCTTCCACACTTTCTAAAGGTAACGTTCTTTCAGCTTTTTCAACCGATTTAGGTGACTTCTTAGCGCTTTTAGTTGATGAAGGTGTTTTTAATGCTTTTGCCGGACTTCTTTTAGCAGTCTTTGGTGTTTCCACCTTCTGAGCTTCATCTTCTTCAACTTGATCGTCTTCCTCAATTTCTAAAAGTTTCTCGACTGATTTTGGAGATTTCTTTGCTTTCTTAGCAGAAGAAGGTGTCTTCAAAGCCTTTGCCGGACTTCTCTTAACCGTTTTTGGTGTCTCCACCTTCTGACCTTTACCAACGTGATCTTCTATTCCTTGATCTTCTCCTTCTTTTACATTCCCATCTCCAGCTCCGAAACTAATCCTCTTTGCTGACAACTTTGTTCTTTCCGCAGTTCTGGCAGGACTTCGGCTACGTGAAGGACTTCTTCTTAAAGAGTCTAGATCTAAACAGAAAAGAATTAATGATAATTAAAGAATATTACCTTTTGCATCAAACTCTGGCGTTGCTTTTCTCAACCGACGTGAAGACCGTACTGGAGTTGGTGTTTGTGACTCTCGGGCTGGCGTTCGAACCTAAAAACAAATGTTATACTGATTAATTTGTAAGATTGACATGTCACACAATTTTTATTACCTAAAATTTATTGTTCTTCAATTTTCAACTTAAAATTTTTGTCTTACACCTTTAGGTTTTAAAAAATTAATTTTAAACATAAAATAAAACTAAAACTTTAAATTAATCTCTTCATTCTCCTTTCTAAACAGCAAACGATTGATTTAAAGATAATATACCAAAAAAAATCAATATAAACTTACCATCTGTAAAAAATTGAAAATTTTACAAACACTACTACTTTATAACAATAAGAAAGGTACCAAAGAGTCAAAAATATAATTTTTATGGCGCTAAAATATATATTTTTAGTCCCACCACGAAAACAAGTCAAGCCAGAAGCAAGTGCAGGCTGCAGGAGCGTGGGCGCGGCGTGCAGAAAATAAATAAAAAAGATTTTTTTGGTAAAGTCAGTTTTGTTGATCGAAAAAATGATTGATAAAGTATTTTAATCAAATACTGATATAAAAATTTATAACAATAATATTCTGCACATTTATATCATGTTCTAGGTATCAATCGGACTTTGAATGGGTTAATGCAGACGGTTTCTCCCCAATTTCTCGTCAAGTCAATTGGTTCATTTTCGTCAGGCAGGATCTAAAACAGTATATTTTGACAAATTCATTCAATTATAAGTTAAAAATACAAGTAAGTTTTAATAAATTTTGTTTGCGCGAAATTTAGATCAATGTCAACATACTTTGAAGCTTTTGAAGAGGTTGCCGATGAATAAGAAGAGTTCCATTCTGGCCAAAGCTTCACCAAGACATGCACGACGTCCCAACATAAATGGTACTAACTCATCCACCTTTTTCAAACTGCCATCTTGATTCAAAAAGCGGTTAGGGTCGAATTTGTATGGGTCTGGGAAGACCTAAAACAATATCGTGGCTTGGATTCTGTAAACTGTTGTTTGAAATAGTATTTTTATTAATCAAAATAGTTTTGCGAACCTAACAATATTGACTTTGTAAGTTTTTATAGGGTATAACACAGCGAAATAAGCTGTTTTTTCTTGTTATAGGTATCAAGATTTGATGTCTTGTTCTTGGTTTAATCATAACAAATTTCAAATATTGTAGAGGATACCGAAACTGACAAAATAAGATAGCTAAAAGCATTTTTAATACATTTATAAAACGCTTGAGGTTGATCGAAACGTTTAAAATATTGAAATGAGCTGTTTTATATTGTTATAGGTATCAAAGCTTGGCGTTGTTGATATTTACATCCCTTCCCACTTACCGCCGGATCATGATGTAAGACACAAATCTGTGGTAACATGGCAGTACCAGCCGGTATGGTATACCCTCCTATTTCTGTATCTTTATGAAATTCTCTCATAATCGATAATGGCACAATGTTCGCGATTCTTTGGCATTCCAACAGTACGGCTGCAAAGTACGGTAGCTGGTTACGGTAGTTGGTTTGGACTAGTCCATCTCCTGTGACACTTTCGAATTCTTTGTACATGTTGTCCTGGATTTCGGGATTATTGGCCAAGTAGGCTATGGTAAAACCGATCGTGTTTGAGCTGGTTTCTTGGCCTAACAGCCAGAGGTCGTATAAGATGTCGATTAGGGCTTGTCGGCTGAAAAAACTTGTTTTAAAAGCAGAACTTTCTTTACAAATAATAAAATGGCCAAAACTTTTAATTTCTCTGCACGGTGTAAACGAGTTTTTTGCACAGTGCAGTAATTTTTTAAAAATTTATAGTGCCGTTCTTTTTAATGCCCTCAAAGTAAAAATTGTTTTAATAGCTTTATATTAGTCCCTATTAAAACATTTATCCACATTTGTTACCTAAAATACGCTCCAAATTGCACAATGCAAAAAAGAAAATTTGTTGCACTGTGCGAAAAAAATCTGCTGCTGCACAGTGCAATGGAAATTAATCTTTTTACTGTAAAAATCGAACTTTCTTTACAAAGCAAAAAATGGCAAGAACTTTTTTTACAAAACTCAAAATGGCAATAACTTTCTTTACAAAATAAAAAATGGCAAGAACTTTCTTTACAAAACAAAAAGTGGCAATAACTTTCTTTACAAACCAAAAATGACCCTAATGTTCCCTAAAAACCTCGTCGTTCTCGTCGTTTTCCCTGCGGCGATACATTTCCTTCAAATAGCTCTCCACATAGTCCAATGGCTGACCCTCGCTGTCCATATCCAACACTTGTTCGTGTTCGTCGACGCGGGCGCGGAGGAAGGCGCCCAGCTCGTCGGCCGTCTCTTTCATGTGCTTCAAGGCACCGGAAAAGAATGGCAGCTTTTTGTACAAGTTGATGGCCTGAAAAATTTGCATATGGGGGGGGTGGTTTGGTACCTACACTGTTATTGATATGGTACCTTAATGGAGCTATGGTATTGAGGCTTGAGATTGAAGTACTATTGGTACTATAATTCATATTAATGGTACTAATAGTAGTAGTTTGAAGTACTATTAATGATATTAGAATAATAGTACTAAAGTTGTGTTTTGGTACTACTGGTACTAATATTATTGGTACTAAGATTTTTACTTTGAAGTACTAGTACTATTATTCAAATATTAGTACTAAAAATCGATTTCTGGTACTACTGGTACTAATACAGCAATATTGGTGCTTAAACTTAAATTTTGGTACTATTATTAATAACACTGAAATATCGGTACTAAAATTGAGTTTTGGTACTACTGGTACTAATATTCCAGTAAAGGTGCTTAAAATCGAGTTTTGGTACTACTGGTATTAATATTTCAGTAATGGTGCTTAAAATTGAGTTTTGGTACTACTGGTATTAATATTTCAGTAATGGTGCTTAAAATTTAGTTTTGCTACTATTGGTACTTGTATTGCAAAATTGGCGCTTGAAATTGAGTTTTGGTACTATTATTCGAACAGTACTAGTAAAAGTAGCGTTTTCGGTACTATCGTTTAGAGGTAGGAGTTAAGGTAGGGGTATGGGTATGCTCAACGTTTAGTTAGTACCAAACGTTTAATTTCGGTACCAAACCCTAAAATTTAGTACTCTCAATACCCACCTGCATATGTGAATGTACAATAGGTTCCATTACATCGTATTCAGCCGCCTTATCACCCGCAAACCGATACCCAAACAATACCAAATTGATGACCGACGCCACCGACCGGTTGATTTTGGCCGTAATTTCGGTTGAATATTCGGTTTTTCTGGTCGATTCGAGGATTTGTAGCAGGTCCATGACATGGGCCGTTATTTTCTCCTCCATCGAGTTCTTGCCCATGCCGTACTCGCGCAGTATGTGCAGACTGAAGCGACGGTTGTTACGCCATTCGTCGCCACTGATAAAGATGATACCATTGTTGCCGGCTGAAATGTAAATGTTATTGTTGTTATAGGGGCTGGAAATAAAGTTCTTGCCATTTTATGTTTTGTAAAGAAAGTTCTTGCCATTTTCGACACTGTAAAGAAAGTTCTTACCATTTTTTATTGTGTAAAGAAAGTTCTTTCCATTTTTTGTTTTGTAAAGAAAGTTTTTGCCATTTTGTGTTTTGTAAAGAAAGTTCTTGCCATTTTTTGTTTTGTAAAGAAAGTTCTTGCCATTTTCGGCTCTGTAAACAAAATTTCTTCCTACTTCTGTAATTAGCGTTGAACTCGTCAGAGTTAATCCTCCTGACAACCGGCTCGTTCATCCCCACCAAGGCATGGCTGATCAAGTTGTAATCCGCCAACACAACGACCGGTCGTTCCGCGAACCATATCGTGTAGATCCCACCGTACTTCTGTTTCCATTCCACGAACACATCTGGAGGCGGCTTGTACCAGATTCCCCAGAAATGGAATGGGCGTGGGTCCTGGAGGGTAGGCGCGACGTTTGTAGTAGAAGTGCCAGAATAGGTAGAGCAGGAAGAAGGTGGATAAGATGAGGGTGATCATGGTGGAGTGTTAGGGCTGAAGATATATTTTATATTAAGGTTTGTTTGAGTTAATGAGTAAGGTAAAGCTAGAATAAGTATAAGATACGGGTAGGATAAGACTAGTGTAGGGCATGGTAGGGTAAGATGGGATAGAGTAAGCTAATGTAGAGAGAGAAGAGTAAGATAGGAGAGTAGAACAAGCTTGTAGGATAGTTGGTGGGCTATGAGTTATGAAGTTTTGGAGTAGAATTGGGGTATTTAGTAGGGGTGGATCTTTGGAGAGAGGTGTATTTTTGAGGAAACAGTAGGATAAGGCAAGGAAACTAGTTTTTACCTACCCTATCCTATTTTACCTTTCTTTACCCTACCTTAACATACCTTGACCTTGCCCTATGCAAAAGTCCCGCTTTTTCCCACCTTTAGCTAAAAAACCCACACCTCTTGAAATATCCACCCCTACGAAAAATCTCCACATCCACTTTAAACTCCCTTACGTCAGAATTTACTCCTACCCTACCCTACCTTACCCTACCCTTCAATTTTTATCTAGAAATGATAATCCTACCCTACCCTACCCTACCCTACCCTACCCTACCCTACCCTACTCTACCCTACCCTACTTTACCCTACCCTACCCTACCCTTTCTTACCTTACCCTACCCTACCTTGCCCTGCTCTACCCTTTCTTACCTTACCCTACCCTGTATTCCCTAGACGTAATTTACAGTATCTTTACCCTGCCATAACTTCCTTACGCAACCAAGCCTAACCTGTCCAATTTTTATTATCACACGCTTACCCTACCACTCCTAATTTTAAAACGGCGCTAGGACAAATGCAGTTTTTGGACATTTGCGGATCTGCGGTTTTTAGACACTTGCGGATTTTTTAAAGGTTTTTTAAATTTTTAAGTTAATTTATTTGTAGTATGGTACTAAATTGTACGAAAGTTTAAGTTGGTGCGGTTTTAACATAAAAGTACCTTTTTGGGCTTTTAGTACCATTCAGTACCAAAAAATATAAAACAGTACCAATTTAAAATTTAGTACTATTTAGCACTAAAACATATTAAAACAGTACCAATTTAAACTTTAGTATCATTTAGTACCATACTACAAATAAATTAACTAAAAAAGAAAAAAATCCCCTTTAAAAAATCCGCAAATGTCCAAAAACCGCATTTGTCCTAGCGCCTTTAAAACCCTACCAGGAGTCGTCTCATAACTAGAAAGTTTTCAGTATCTTACGAATCACCGTGAAAAAAACGTCCTCACCGTTCCCAGAGATACTTCACCGTGCCGAGAATTTTTTTAGCGTGCCAGAAACTACCACACCGTTCCGCAAATTCCTGTCCTTCCAGGTAATGATAATTTGGAGTTGAATGTTATCACTGTATTTAAGGCCGTTGATCCCCACGGTCGTTTTTTCATATAACGCTAATTACCGTCTTTATTATAAAAAATCGACTGTTCTTTTAGATTTACAAAAAAATCGACAGGTTTTGTCTATTAAACATTAAGTGAACTATTAAACGGTCGTCAAACACGCTGTGTGGGGCAACCGGCTGTCCGTAAAAAATGCCCTTTAAGGAATTTATTGCATTTCGAACAGACTTTACAGCCGTTTTGTTTATTATTGCTCGGAAGGTTGTATTATTACTGTAATATCTTGAGTTATCAGTAATGGGCTGTGATTACTGTAAAATCAAATTTTTTGTCATTTCTTGTTCTGTAAAGAAAGTTCTTGTCATTTTATTTTTTGTAAAGAAAGTTTTTACCATTTATTGTTCTGTAAAGAAAGTTCTTGTCATTTCTCGATTTGTAAAAAAGTTCTTGTCATTTTATGCTTTGTAAAGAAAGTTATTGCCATTTTACGTTTTGTAAAGAAAGTTTTTGCCATTTTTTGGTTTGTAAAGACGTTTTTGCACTTTTTGTTATTTGGAAAACATTTCGCGTATTTTACCACTGAAATCCCTAACTTTCATTGCACCGTGCAATATTTTAATTTTTTTGCACCGTGCAACAAATTTTCTTTTTTGCACTGTGCCATTTGTGACGTATTTTAGGTAACAAATATGGACATAACATTTAGTCCGGTGTCATAAAAATCTATTAAAACAATTTTCACTTTGATAATTTTAAAAAGAATAACACAATGAATTTTTGAAAAATGGCTGCACCGTGCAATCCAAAAGTGTTTTGCACTGTGCAAAAAATTAAGGCTTTTTTCCACTTTTAGGCTCGTATAATCAAACTCGAATTATAGTTCGTGATAATTTATATATAGGACTAAATAATCGTGTTTTAACCCGGATAATAGACTTAATGACCATATAACAATACTGTACTACAGTAATATAAAAGGCTAGGAAAATTAAAAGATATTACAAAATTTTAAATACTATAGTACTAAAATACTAAAAATAGCACGACTACATGTTTTCAGCAAGATAAAAAATTATTATGATATATTATTATCATTGGGAATGTTGTTATCGATAAGTGATAAATCTGTGGTTGTGAGCTTGATATTAAGTGATTGGGCCTGAAATTGCCATGTTTGACATTATATTGCTTTCTAGAATTTAATTTTTTCACTAAAAAATTTTTGCGTTTCAGAAGTTTTGGGAATCTCTGCACGGTGCAATAATATTTGAATTTGCACTGTGCAATCGAAAAAATTTTTTTTTAAATTAAAAAATTTTTAGAAACAAACTTAAAGTGCTTCAATAGTACCATCAGTACTGAAAACAAACGTATTCTAAATCATCGTTTACCTTTTTTAAAAAAAGTTCCTTTGACCTTTCGTGGATAATATCCATGTCAATATTGGTGTAGGGGGACCTTCGAAGTAGTAGTGGAACACTGTAAAATGTCAAAAATTAATTGTTTTTTCATTTTTGAAATATATACCATGAATTTAGGTGTCAAAACACTAGTTATATTCAAAAATTGTCTACGATAACATCAAATTTTTGGGTCCCAACTGGAAAAAAATTCATAACTACATACAGTAATGCTTAATGTAAAAATATGAAATTTAGCCAAATTTAAGCCAAGACCATGGTGTATGTCTGTGCGAAAATTCGAAAAGTTTCGTTTACCCTAAGGGCATGAAATTTCAAAATAAAATTCAAAAATTCAAACTTTTTCTCAAAAATGCCTAAAACTAAACTTTTAGCCTAGAAACTACCTAAAACCAATATACCAAGTTCAAAAACATACATTCCACTACTCTCATCCCCATTGCCAACTGAAGCCATGACCAAACTCTTCACGTGACCTTTTATTTTCTCCGATTTCATTCGATTTATCTTGCCCATGAGGAAAAACCGCACAAAATCCATTGTTTCTTTCGTTTTTTCGTCGATCGACCTCTGTATTGTGTAGTGTAAAAGATGATATATACATCTGTCATAGTCTCCTATGCATTCTGTTTTGTCATCTTGCGAGATGAGCGATAAAATAATGTCAAAAAGTTCGTTTTTCGTGAAAAATACCAAGAAACACTCGGCGATGGGTGGCAAAAATCGTTGAATTTCGGTCTTTAACGTGTAGTAAGAGAACCTAAACAGTACGAATCTTACTCTAAATACTCTTTACTATATTTGCATAATAAAAAAAATTAAACTTGAAAGTTAAAGTTAGTTGAAAAATGGCAAAAAACGCTTACAAATTCAAAATTTTTTGAAATTCTTCACGAAACTGGTCCACTTGTTGTTGTGTGTACCTTGCTTGGTCTTGAATCGACCGGTAAATGCATGTGAAATACACTGATAATGTCATTTCCAAGTGATTGGGCCTTAGTTGGTACGTGTCGAACAGTTCTAAAACAAATTATATTCTACTTGATCAAAAAATTGAAATTTTTTAAAAAATTTTTTAAAAAAATTTTAGAATTTGAAAAAATTAAAACAGAATATTGTTTATCATTATCTAATGCATCTTTTAATACCAAAAGATTAAGTGTAGCTATAAAGAATAACATTGAGATTTTAATTTTTCTCAAACCCATTCAAATCTTGATGCCAAGGTGAATATATTTAATCATAAGTTAAGTCTCATTGCCTCTAAATTCCTTATTTTTTTTCAAAACCTTCCTAACATAATGCTCTATCATTCTATCAAAACTTTTTTTCAAAATTTCACCACCACCCCACAAAAACACTGGCAATCCTTACCAACGGCACATTCCCTGTAGACATTGATGAACGAGGTGCTATGACAAATCAAGCCGTGTATGCCGCTGGCTACCAACTTCTTTTGCCACGTTGGTACTCTTGGGTCCATGAAGACGGTTTTTGTCAACTATACAATGAATTAGAGTATAAGTTTCGTATTTTACCTTGGTGAATCGTTGATCAAACTCCGATTCGCCTTTTCCGAGCTGTTCGCTGATGCAAAAAACGACCGTCCACAACAACTTCTGATGTTCTGTTGTTTCGAATTCACTGAAAACGGAAATATTAGCTTTTTTGTTACCTAAAAATGTCATATTTGAGATTGTGAACAATCTAAAAATGTCAAAAGAATCGTGTTTTAGGTGATCAAACAGCTAAATGTCAACAAAAATCACATCCATACTTTTTGACCATTGTTTTTCAATTTGAAAGCTTTGCTACCACCCCTAACTAAAATATGTAAGCTAGAAATACATTATGACATCTTTACACTTTCAAAAAACATAATTTCAGCTATCAAAACCATCAAAAAGTGGCAAAAACAACAAAAAACCGTAGTTTTTTTCAATTTTTTGAAATTTCAATATCTACAACAACATCAACTGCCCCAAAAACCGCTTTAAACCCTTCCACAACATCTCATCTACCCCCAAAAACAATTCAAACCCCAACTTCCAACTCACTCTTTATGAATTAGGTCATAATTCCAGTTAATCCGTTCCAAACTGCCTAGTATAATATCACCGACCGCCTTTAACGGTGTTGTAAACTCGTCCACAATGACCGACTGTAGTAAATATAGTACGCCTTGAAGTAGACAATCAAATACGAATACGTTT